AGCTATATCAAATTTTCGGTTTCAGTTTCTGTTTCGTCTTTTTACCGATAACGGTGACCGCAACTGTTTGAATTTCGATCTTTTTTGGTTTCGGTTACGGTTACGGATGTGTAATTATCTATTGTAAAATTTAATTACATAAAAAAATACAAGTATAATAAGTCGCATATAAAAAAGTCGTGTTTATTGAAGAAAAAATTAATCACAATAAATCATGGGAGGTTTCTTCTTGAAACTTGTAAATTGGCAATTTATTCTTATTATATCTATCTATGGATAGATATAATACTCTATAGCGCGGATTAAAAGAACTATAGATTTATAAAAGTGTACTACTCTGTTTCTAGTTTCAAGTGCACAGGAGCGCGGAAATTTCCGCATTGCCATATACATATGGGCATTTGGGCTTCGAACAATTTAATGAGCTGCCATTAGTGATTTTCCAATTCCTCCGTTATTACGACTTTGCGATTTTATTGTAGATCCCGCCTTATAAAATATTTAACAAACCCGAACCAAAAACTGGACCAAAAATCGAATCAAAAACCGGAAAAAAATTTTTCAGTCCAGTTACGGTTCTGATTCATAAACCTGCCCAATATTTCAGTCCGATTTTCAGTTTCGATCCGACTAAAATAACAGTTACGATTCGGTTATCAGTTTTGATTTCGGTCCGGTTCGAATCCCTGGTTTTCAGTAATATTTTTGATACACAATAATGTACTGTACAAAATACGAAATTAGTCGCGCGGGAAATATAAATGAAACGGTCAAAATAAGCGATCGATTCGAAATCTAATCATTGCTGATTCGAAATTTTCAAACTATTTCATTTCAAATTATTCGCACATTTCTACAATGCGCATTGATAAACATAAATAATTATGATTACATTTGGTCATAAATAATTTTACATCTTTTATGAAAGAAACTCGTTTTGAAAGAAACTCGTTTGATTATATTTGAAAAAATAATCATTTCGCGAGGGAGACATCCCCGCAATCACGAGATTTCTTTTTTAATATTTATCATTCGTTCCTCGGTGTGCCGGATGCTGTGTCGTTTCTTCCCGAATAGATTTTCGAGTTTAAGTAACGTTCTCTCCCTTATTCACCGTCGCTGGAAGTCAATAGTATAGTTTTCTATTTGTATATTTGTTAATTATATTTTATAAATTATATTTTAATATGCGTAATATAATATCGTTGTATTGAATTAGAACGATTATTGAGTTATACGAAGCTAAGCTGCCGTTGCACAAGAGTATTGTATTGAATTTAAGTGTAAAATCTGTGACTTCTGATACCGGGCGAAAGTATCGGAACATTTGGACAATTATCACATATTTGATTGAGCCGAATGCCGAGTCGCAAAATTCGTTGCACGGATCGGCCCGTAATTTTATGACGTATCGTTGATTTACATGATTTTAGATTTTACCGAATGTTGATGTATCCGAAAGCGACCTAATGTAATTTATTGAAACAAGATTAAATATAAAATAATAATTATTTCGACGGATGGTTATTTGCACGAATTATGATCTCTCTACCTCTCTCGTGCCGTATCTCAGGAACCCTCCTCTCTATCACATAGACTGAAACTGAGCTGCTGAGTTACCGCTCGTGCCCGCGGTCAAATCGTGCGAGATAATTGTCGAAATTATCAAGATTCACGTTGCGATTAAGTGGCACGTGCTCGTGCCTGGCGTCCAACTTTTGTAATCTTCAGATCTCGACGATCCGAGAGAGCACCGGGCTGTACCGCATGATCGGCGATCGCGAGACCGCCAGCTGTTGGCCACGGGACATTCGTCACAAGTTATAGCTTCAAAGTTCTTATATTAGGATTTTCTGAATTACCTCAGAAATACATCCTTAACAGAAAATGCAGTAGTGGAACATTCTATATACAATTGTTCTATAAAATGAACAAACATTTTAATTCATTTTTCATGAAAATAAAAATATGTATCTATTACATAATATTTATTTATTTCAGTTATATGAATGCTATAAAAAAGTAATTCTTTTCATTCAACATTACATATTCTATTAACATAAGATCATTAGTCATACAGATATCACTTACTTCATTCTTATATTATCACTCTATACCAAATAGTAAATCACACGTAAGCGTATTTAAAATTTGAATATTATTATTGCATATATATATTCTTAATATTTTTATAATTTATATATGTATATTATATATACTTATTGTTACAAGTTAACAGACATTAAATTACAAGAATAATATTTATATTTTAATTATATTATTTTGTACTGTACTATTAATATTACAACCCTAACGTTTTAACCCTTTAAAAGCTTCGCATAAAATAACAGTAAAAGCATTTTTATTGTATTTGCGTACCTTTACGTTATACACGAAATATATAAATTGCACTTATTCTTGTTATTCTATCCAACTTGTCAAACAATAATTGTCAAAATATTTTGGCGTGTTATAAGTGCAGCATAAAACATTAGCTGTTATAAGTGCAGCATAAAACATTAGCTCAGACATTTTATTTTGTTGATAACAGTCGTCACATTTTTTATATAGAAGTTTAATAAAAGAGAAAAATAATTAGGCCATTCAATTTTGTCTAAGAAAATCTCTAAAAATTGAAACGATGATAAAGTAAAGCGTTACAAAAAAATAAATGATGTTGAAATATAGAAGAATTAAATAAATTATGCAAATTTCCTTTTAGACATAAAATAATATAAAAAAATAATATAAGAAATAATATAAGAAATACAAGAAATAATATAAAAGATTTAAATGAAAATTCTATTTTATTTAATATCTTTATGTGTATACATATTCATATACATATATAATATTGATTTTACTTTACATTATACATATTAGAATATCTAAGCTATTTATTTTTTTAGAAATACAATAATGTCTAAAAAATTATTGCGTAATTACAAAAATTACTTTCCTTAGAAGTTAAGCATTATATATATTTTGATTATTATAAATTTGTTATATAAAGTAATATGAAGTAAATATTACATTTTAATGTAATAATATAGAGAGCCACTTATACATTATCCATAGCATAACAATAACAAAAACAGTTTTTATTATTGTCACGAACAAATATACTCTAAAATAATAGAATAAGTTTAATTAATATAGCATCTTAATTATTTTAATAATACTTCTTACAAATAATTATATATTATTATTATATTATTTCAATATTTTTTATTTAAAATATTTCAAAGTTTTTATAATACAATAATTCTGTTTTTCTTGATATTTTTTAAATTATATATATTAATAGCAATGTATAATTTATTATTAATATTTTTATTAGTATCTATTAAAAATTTTTTAAAGTTTTCAGTCTATTACTAAAATAATAAATATAATATTAAGTCTATAAATAATATTTTATGAGTACTATAAAGTATATATTTCAATAAAATTGTTTTATGCTTTCTAACCAATCGAGTAAATATTTACGACGAACCCACCTTCCTGAGTCGGAGA